AAGGGGTTCAAAGAAAAGTTTTCAGGCGTGGCCTCTTATTAATCTTCAGTGCATATATCTTCACTGTTTATAGCAATAATTTAACCCTAAAACTTGATTACTTGGGTAGTAATCCATGATTTGCTACTTAGAAGAGACTTTTTTGACAAGGATTTAAATTTATCATTTCTACTTAAGCTATCAAATATATGACTTCTGCTTCTTCTATTACTATCAAATTTAATTGTATTTTTGTTTAGCTTTACGTTTGACTGCTCCGGGACTAAAGACATTAAAAGTTATTAAGTGATAAGATTTAGTAGTTTAGGTCTGAATTAGGGTTTCTAGTTGGGGCAATTACTAAACCGTGTAAGATCCGAGTCAGAATTAAACTCGAAGATGATAGGTAGAAAAATTGACATGTGCTCGTTGCTCGAGTTCGTTACTTCAGCCAATCACAAAGGCAATTATAATGTAGGCTTCAAACTAACCGCTAAAATCACCAAATTTAGGCTTTATAACAGAAAAGACTCCTTTTTTAGCTCAGAAAAAAAAAAGAAATATCAACAGTTAATAGGAAGGGGTGTATAACAGCTATTTTCCTTCGAGAGCTGCTCAGTTCGAATGTTGGGTGTCTTTTCTCTCGGGATAAAGATGTTTATACTAACTTACTCTAAAAACGAGTATTTATATATATGTGTGTGTGTGTGTGTGTGTGTGTGTGTGTGTGTGTGTGTGTGTGTGTGTGTGTGTGTATTTTTTTCTACTGTGCTTAAAAAACCTACTGTGCTTAAAAACCTTTGCTTAATAATTTCAAGCCATGGGTTCTGGTACGAGCATCACTATCATTTCTGTTTTTCTGAAGATTTCTTGAGACAACTTCGGTCCTTTCGATAACTTTTAGGTAAAGCATTCACGCTTCTAGACCCAAGTAGCCCAAGGCAATGTTAGTCTAGACCTGAATTGTTTGCCACCCCTGCGCTTCTTCCACATGAAAAATCATCAACCTCAGGGTTGAAGCAGAACCCCATTATTGTCTGAGAGAACCCGCAGTCGCAATTGAATAAACCCCAGACTGAAGTTTGGACGAGAAATGAAATTAGTTTTTGAGAAATGAGAACTAGAAAGTTCCGAGCTCGAAAACTTGCTCGAAAGAAAAATATAGAAGAACTGCTGCTTGTATAGTCAATGCCAAATTGCTGGCAATATCGGTGACCTGAGGCAATTTAATTGGTCAAAAACTATTTAGGTTAATTAGTTTTTCGGACACATTTTTACGTGTGGAAGTCAGTGATAAACAGAATTCGGTCGTCAAACTGAGCAGTTTTAGCTGAATTTACTTCGTTAGATTCGTTGACCGAAATGATATTGCCAACAGCTTTAGTTCCCTTTTTCTTAAGAAAAACTCAGTTTTGGGCCTTCTACTGACTTGAGCCAACTTAGCTCATTGGCACTGAAGATGCTATGAGAAAATAGCAATGTTGTGCGGTCAAAATTATATTTTTTTTTGTAACTCCACAGAATTGGCCTAAGAATCATCGGCTTCAAAAACGACAACATAAGCTTCAAATCAATAGCAAAATAAAGTAGGCTACACTTTCGGCTAGAATGGCTTCTACAAAACAAATGAAACATTTTGTCGACTTTTTCTAGGTTGACGAAATTTCCGAGCGGTTCCAGAACACTATAAAGACCCTGTTTGGACCAATTAAAAAAAAAACAGGTCGAAAAAGCCGTTTTTGGGCACTTTTTCTAAAATTTGGACAAAAAAGTTGTGTTTTGGGTCGGCAGGGGGTCAAATCCCTGAGTAGGGGGGCGTCCCCCTTAAATCCGCCTGTGTACAAAACAATTAACAATTACCCCACCATACCCCCCTCCGTTTCTTGAAAGGGGGAGGAGTAATTTTCAAGTAGATTAAGTGTTAGTCGAATTTTCAACCAATCCGAATGCAGCCAAACTCGAATTATATGAACAGAACACTCTTATGCTAATTTACTGCTTTTGGTATACGGATGGCAATTATGTGTTAGATCAGAAGATTTCATCATAAGTACTTTGGCAGGGTTCTCAGCTTCCATGCTGCCATTCTCTCAAATTTTACAAATATTTCTAGGCTCACTCTTTTTAGGACTTGGTTGCAACGATAAATAGCCAGCGGCGAATCCAAATAGCAAGACTGGCCGGGAAGCCTGGCTACTTTCGCAGAGTTTTCTTTCCCTCTAGCTCCTGTCGCTTCTGTATTTTCATTTATCACAAGTCTGTTTATAGTTAACCCGGCCAAGAAAATGTTTGTTGTGCGAAGTCGGAGAGTATGCCTCTTAACTGGGTCTAAAAACAACCATTGGGACGCCAAAAAGGGTTCCTAAAAGCCTAAAGCCCTGATTAAAAAACCGATTAAAGGAAATACCAGCTGTGAAAATGTGTCTGCAATATAATTTCTAAATATTTGTTTTGATCTCAGAATAACCCAATTTTGTTGTTAGAAATCTGATCACATTAGAAATCTGATCACATGTTTAAGTGATTTCTAAGCTAAATAAAGAAAGTAGTATCACTGACTTAGTTGGCCCAGATTCTGAAAAACATCAAAAAAAGATATCGTAATTAATTAAAAATTTAGGACCTAGACCAAGTACAGCTTCATTTAAGAGGCTATCTTTCTTTTTTGTTGGGTGCTCGGTTTTCGTCTTTTGAAATCAATTGGTTGGAAATTAGACAATCAATCTAATTTTCCGAGTGTCATGAAGCTCCAATAAGAAACCATTCTGCGGAGCAAGTAATTTTCAGATATTTTCTCAAAAAGATGACACTTTGTTTTTGGTATCGCTTTCAAATGAATTGAAAATTGGCGCTCAAATTTTCGTGAATGTAAAGAATGGATATCTTTAACAATTTCTCCCCTTTTTTCAAAAGAAAGGGGGATTCGTTAATAGGTACAAAATCGCATTTGTTTAGCCGTTGAGTTATTTCACTATCCGCATTGCAAGACTGCAATCGATTATAATATATTTTTATACAGATTTTCTACTAGTAAAAAATCAATTGTATGTGATGACCCAATTAGAAAGAAAAATGGATAATTTAGAGATTTTATACAGTTCAGAAAAACTGATTTTATAGTCTAGAAAATGGATTTTTTTAGCGGTAAAAAAACTGTATAGAATCTGTATACAATCGATTAAAACCGACGGCAATGCATTTTTTACGGACCAAATAAAATCGATCAAATATCATCAAAGGGATTATTGTTCCGACTTTCGATACGAACGTAACGGAATATTTGTGCTCGGGGTGGGTTTTTTTTCTTCAGACAAAATTCGACTTTTTAACTAGCCATTTTTGACGGATTTTTTTTACATCATTGGAAAGGTATTGTTGTCCTGAGCTCAAATTTGAAAAGATATTTCACCTGTGATTATTTTTCGTAAAGTTACGGGGGTTTAAAGATTGCCATTTTGACCAATTTGGGACAATTAACGCGTAAGCGGAGAGTTAATCCGTCTTAGAAATCGTTCCAAGTTGGTTAAAAGAAGCTTATTTGCCGTAATTTGTTTGTTACAAGGAACGAAATCTATCCTTTTGTTCTTTGTATGGCGTGTGGGGGGACTATTTTCATAAAAATGTTCAAATTTTAGAAAAAATTTTTTTTTTGATTTTGTTATATTTCATTGAATTTTTAAATGTTATTACTGCTCCATAAATCTTAAAAGGCAATCGGAACGTTCAGGGCTTCGCCCTGATACAAACAGTCTTGTATTGTCTAGAAAATTGATTTGTCTACTCTTAGAATCATGATGTTTGAAATCTCAAAACAAAAGTTGAATTCAAAATAAACGACACAAACAATCAAAATCAACAAATCATCAAAATAAACAAGGTTTTGGGCACAAAATATGCAATAATCTCATGGAAATCATCACTACCCAGGCCCAGCAATCTTTACGATCTTTGAAAAATCTTGAAAAAATCTTTGAAAATCGTTGCACCCCGGTGTGCAATGGTGTGCAATCGAGACGCTAAGCTGAAAACAAAATTTTGGATATTTCTACCCAATTAATTTCAAAAACTGGCCACTACGAGTCGAATGCGCTATCGGAAATTTTTTCCGACGTCTGAAACTTGGTTGATTTACTTTCGGACACATAGACAAAAATAGCTAAAAATGGGCTCATTTTGACACTTTTTCTAAACTATGCACAAAAGAAAAAAATGTTAGGCCAAGAACTCGTCTCAAGGACTCTATTTCGGCCTGATAAGGTATGAAACACTAAAAAATTAGGTCAATACTGGGATTTTCAATTTTCGTCTTTGGTGAGATTTTGGAATTACTGGGATTTTCCGATTTTCCAGTTTTGTTTTTCGATTTCACTCCCCTCACCCTGCCGACAACGACCACAAACAAACACTTAAACAATATCTTACAATACAACTACTTTGCTTTGGCCATACAAAATTTTCAATTTTTGTCTTATTTTGACAATTTTATGTTGTTTTAATCGATTTTGGCTATTGTCATTAAAACGAGACAGGTAACAAAACTTTTTTCTTAATTCGAAATTTTACATTAGAAAATTTAAACGGAAATAAAATGGATTTTATAGTGTATATAATCTGTATATAATCTGTATAAAATTGTATAAATTCTGTATATAATCCGTACCAAATTTGCACTTACAAATGGATTTTGGTTAGCATCGAATCGATTAAAATAAGTACAAATTGCAATCAATTGTAATCGATTTGAGAGTCAATTTTAGTGCATAAAAAAACTAGATAGCTGAACTGTAGATTGTACTTGCGATAATTGATTGAAATCTTAGTTTTGGTTAGAAAACAATAAAAATATTAATCCTAGTAGAACTTGCATGTAGTTTTTGTGCTAAGTTTTTTGCTTGCTAACTAGAAGCCCGGGTGGTAGTGGTTTAAACCTTTAAACTGTTGATTGAAGAAGAAGGCAGAGACACTGCTTCGTTTAACTTCGTTCTGTTTTCCGATAACCTAAATTTTTTTGTTTGTTTCAGACGAGAGTCACATTTGTGTCGAAGAACAAACTGATCGGAACTGTCTGTTCATCTTAGCAATAATTTCCGTATTTGGAATAATCTTTAATGCCATTCTTGCCGTTCTCGTGAGTATTCTCGCCTCGACACGACTGGCGTTTCTCGCGGACCGCATTCCTTTCAAGGAAATCTGCAAACAAGTCGTGACACTTTCATTCACGTGGATCATACTCGAAATTTCCGCGATTTGTATAACGTCAATGATGGTGTTTCTTGTCATCAGTATTTTCGGCTTGGAAGAAACGTTCTATTTCGACAATCTGATTGCTGTTATGAATTATTTTGTTCTCTCACACGCCAAATACGATGAAATTGGTACCTCGATGGTAATTCATTTAGCAATCACTGACATTTCTTTGAAGTTGGCCGCTGTTTTCAACTTCTACCTGACCTTGACGATGTTGCTCCTGGTTCTTAGACGATTCAGCGAAAAGTACAAATCAGCTTTCATTTCAGCTACATTAGGTAAGTCTTTCAGCTTACTTTTTCAAGCAAATGAATTAGTCAAAATCCGATTTTGGTAGAATGAAAAAAAAATCAATAAGAACAATTAGCAAGACGCTCAAGCAGTACTTTTTTACTCATTTTTGTTCATTCACGACATCAGCTTTGTAATCCAAGATATGTTTTTGGTAACATATCGTTTTTCCTAATTTTGCTTTAACTGCAGAATGACTTAGCATCTGAGTATTTGTTTTTACCCATGCAAAATCAGTTGCCACAAGTAAACAACGTAAAATAGTTTTAAAGCTTTTGTAATTAACCTGATGTAATTACACGAATAATCACAATACTTCTTTAAATTTTTCTTGACGGATGGTAAAATTTCAGCCTTGCTATTAAAGTTCTCGGAGATATTTGAAAGTTTTCAATCTAGTAATTGTGAACCATAATTGGCTCTATAGATAGCTGAGCTAGGGGAACGCTCCTTGATTCAATTTATTCTTTTATTGAAATGTCACTTTCATTCTTCATGCGATGAAGAAGAGTATTGAATGACATGGCCAAAGTTCTTTTGTTTTGCTGTCTCAATTTATGCTCAAGGAAAAAAAATTATTCAATGGGTATGAATTTCTTTTGAACCAAAGAAGCATCCTTCTCCCTAAACGAAATTAACTTCATTCAACAAGAGAACGCGGTAAAATTGAAAGAAAGTGTCTAAAAATTCTTTCAATCGGGTTTCGGAAAAAATATTGTTTTTGTGATAAATGCTTATCAAACAGTTTTTGTGTACAAAAACTGCAGAATGAACTTTTCCTTGTAACTGTAAATTAAATTTCTCGTTACCAGAAGGTTTTTTTGAATTCAAATAAGTTTAAAAATCAATAAAAATATTTTTTCCCCCAACTTTCGAATATGCAAGAAAATTGTATGATAAGCATTTTGCCATAGATTTCATATAATGGGTGCAATTGTTAACGTAGTCCTTTTCTTTTTACAATAATCAATTGTTCTTCTGGTGATATCGATTCTTTTAAGATCTCAAACTATCTATCGATCGAAACTTAATTTACGGCAGATAATTTATGTTAGTTTTTTGCAGATAAAACCGCCAAAAATTGTGTAAGAGTGAAAATCATGCTCGCATGCGGCTCATTCGCAGAAACTAAAAATAAGTCAATACTATAGAAAAAGCATGGCTATCAGATAATTTTTTCAGAACCAACAACTATACCCTTACTGACAAAAATGGATTGCAATTGATTTGTTACAAAATAGTTAGAAATCTATTTGAACATATCGATTCAAATTGATTTTGAATTGTATCAAATTGGTTTAAATTTAAAACTTTCTAAGATTACCAAGACAAAACCTTTTTTTAAGTGTTTACCACTTAAATGTTTGAACACATTTTCTGCAGATTAAAACTGATTTACGGATTTATCTACCTCTTTTTGTTCCGACTTTCGATACGAAAGTAACGGAATATTTGTGCTCGGGGTGGGTTTTTTGGCGGAATTTTGGCGGAACTAGCCATTTTTGGCGGAATTTTTTTATATCACTCGAAAGGTATTGTTGTCCTGAGCTTAAACTTGAAAAGATATTTCATCTGTGATCATTTTTCGTAAAGTTATGGGGGTTTAAAGATTGCCATTTTGGCCAATTTGGGACAATTAACGCGCGATATATTTCGCGCTCTTAACGCGTAAGCGGAGATTTAATCCGTCTTAGAAATCGTTCCAAATTGAATGCAAGAATTCATAATTGATTTTTTACAAGGAGCGAAATCTATCCTTTTGTACCTTATATGGCTTGTGGGGTGATGAATTTCATTAAAAAATTTCAAATTTTAGAAAAAAAAATTTTATTCGACTTTTATTACATTTAATTTTCTTCATTTTATTACTGCTCCATAAAGTTTAAAAGGCAGTCGGAACATTTAGGGTTTTGCCCTGATACGAGCAGTCTTGTTTATCATTTTAAACAGATTTTATTAAAATCATATTCAACTTTTTATGAGTTGTTCAATTATCAACTTATATGAGTAAATGGGCATTTCAGTTGGTTTTTCGAGATGATAATTGTTCTGAAACAACTCTTTGAACTAATATGAGATTTTCTTGCAAGAAAAATTGTTTGTTACAAATAAAGGATTTTATTTTTTAAATTGATTTTCTTCACGAAAATGCGCCAAAAATGATGACTTTAAAAATGTTTTTTGAAGATGTTTTGCCGAATTTTTTTATATCCACAGAAACCCATTGATATCAAAATATTCTTTCGAATCCCCTTTTTACGGTTTTTTGGGGACTTTTTTACGCCTCAAGTGACAGTAGCCCTCTGAAATACAGACAGATTTTTTCACTCAGGTTTTTGAGCAAAAGTACTAATTGACAATTATTTTTGAAAAATTTTGAAGCTACGATGTATATCTTTTTATGAACCCAATAAATCAGTTTTGTTGAGATTTTGATTAACATCCTGCGAAAATCCATTCAAATCATTTCTAATCATTTTGTAGGCAATAAGATCGGTTTTTCCACTACAGCAAAAATCGTTGAAATCATTGTACCAATGGGCTTAAAACAAACATTTTTCATACATTATCATGATACAATTTCTATAAAAAATCGGTGTAAATTGATAAAATTCCTAGTAAAATTTTGCCCTCAATAACATGATGATTCCAATATGTTTTTGCTGTTAGTAACAGCTAGCCTTTCTTTTTAGACGACATATATGTTCAGGGTTATCATATTCTCTTAACCTCAATTCATTTCACACCCTGACCCTGTATTTCCGTAATGGCTCAATTTCTTACATCGTTACATCATTCTGTAATAAATATCATAGTTAACGATGCGTTATGCTTTGAGATTTTTTGATGTTGGTTCTAAATTTCAAGTTCTTTAAGCACTGCGGGACCATTGTTGACCAAAACGCATTATGTGTAAATATGAGTCAAGTCACTCATTCAAAGTGACAAGTTAAACACTGGGAAAATTTAATCGAGATGTTCTTGCTAGGCTTCTGACATAAGTTTTGATCCAAATGCTACATGTATTGTGTAATGAATAATTATTCAAGTCCAACTTTTTGATACGCGCTCTCCCTCAAAATTAGCTCATATTGGCACCCAATGCTCCTCGAGAATAATTTTGATTTTATATTAAAATAGTTCTAAAGGCGCCTTCGGCGCCAATGTATTTGAAGATTTAGAGTAAGCGCGCCTTAAAAAACCTATTTTTTAATCATCAAAATCTTCGGAAAAGTGCAAAGCGGCATTTTCCCAAAAGTTGCGTGCCCAAAAAGTTTTGGTAATTAGGGTCATTAAATGTTTTGGCAGAGCGCGAAAGATTCAAATGGCTGACTTTTTCACAAAACAGTCCAGCGCCTGTTGAAAAATGAATTTACGCGCAGGTCAATGTTTATCATTTATACTCTCCTGATTTTTTAAAAGTTATTTGGTCCTCTTTAATTTTCACAGTTTGTCGATATGTTTAAATATTCGATAAATTAAAAGCCACATCTTGAAAGCTTACACAAGTTTGAATAAACAATTTGTTCATACCATTTCAAGAGACAAAAACTAGTCAACCCAATATAAGTACTTACAATTACCACGATTAAAAGGCGAGAATAATGGTAACTCAATCCGTAATGCGACGCTTTTACTTTTGTTAATTTTGTTTTGCAGACAATAAAAGCTTTCAAATCTTCACGTCTACGTGAATAGCATTCAAAGTCTGCAGTTTTTAATTACATGAAGCTCAAATGTATGCAGCCGACTGACTATTCAGGCGCCTGTAATGTTCTACGCGCCTGCTAAGAGATTTTTAGACTCTTTAGAATCTTGAGCGGCTTCTACCTACTTTCGATAAAAAATAAGGCTTTTAAAAAAGCTCGTTCTCCGTTGTACGGAGATGGTATCAAACTCAATATAATTCTCATAATTTCTGCCAATTTTGAGTACTTTTCGCGATTCTGAGAAAAGAAATTGAAAGCAGTTTTTTTCGGCAAATCTATTGCCATCAAAAATTTATCGATTTCGTCGTCAAGACTCAATTTGTTTACTTTTCCTAAAACATCCTGAATTTTGAAATTTATGGACTCAAATAAACTGTCATTCGAGTTAATAGTATTTGCATCACAGTATTCAATTTGCGCATTCGAAGTGTGAATAACATTTTCCCGAAAATTTATTTTTAAATTATGTATAAATTTTTTGCGCATTTTCAGTTTCCTTGATTTGTAAGAAAGCGCGAGACCGTCTGTCTGGGTTCAAAAGCATATGCGCTGCTAGTTTTTCTGCAAATCTTCGTGACTTGTCATCGACGTTTTCATTGTGATCAACCTGGATTCCGTACTAATCGCAGGAATTTTGTATGTTCAATAATCTTTGTTGAGCTTAGTCACGAACCTTTTTATCTAAAGTCTTCCAATCGGGCACATAATTAATTATTTGGATAGCTTCCAAAAATTTTCTATTATTTTATCCACGAAAAATATGAATTGGTAAGTTAGTTTTTGCAAAAAGATGCGCAAACTCTTCGGTTTGGCCTTCCCGGGGAGGAAATGCAGCAAAACTATGGCCGATCGTCAATTGTCTTGGGATTTTTCTGCTTTCCAAAATTTTGTCCAATTCTTGTGGGTGGTTAGGTTGCAAATGATCTTCAGAATTACTGACAAATTTTGATTTTTTTCAGCCCTAATTATTTTTTGTCGCATTTTCTGCAAAAAAAGTATTCCGACTCTCGCCCTTGAAATATAGATTCTAATTCTGTTCGTTTTTGAAAAATCTGTTTGCGCATTTATCATATCTTTCTTGAAAGCATGGTAACAACCAATTTATACGCTTTTATTACAAAGAAAAAAGTGTGAGAATATTAGCAAGCGTTTATTGCGCAAAATTACTGCTTAAACCTATTTATTCACATCAGTACATTGTCAATAAGACTCAGTGTCTGAGAGGTCTAGTTGTCGCAGTTGGGTAGAGCTTTATATCAATATCACATTTGTTAAGGAAGTTTTTTGGAGTGGGTTCGAACCCCGCTCGTCCCGCGATTTGAATTTTTTTTTTTCAATTTAATTTGTTATATTAGAATTGAAATATTTCCTTTGAATTGCGTGGATTCATATTTTGACATTTAAATAAAATGAAACTTAATTGAAAACGTAAATTAATTTAAATTGTTTCTTTTTAATGGACATCACTGCTTACAGCCAATATCAAGAACCAAGTTCAATTATCTAGCCATCGCAGTGAGTTAACTGAAGCAATTAGCTTGCCTCACTTCAAATCGAAACGATTTCAATTGCGAAATATATCATAACGCTACAGTAGTTCTCACTTTCATCTTGACCATTGTGAATTAATTCTTAAAAAGACACATTTGTCAGTCCAAGTAGGCCGAATCAAAAAATTTTTTGTTTACCAGAGTTTTTTATGTAATTTCCTACAATTGAGCTCAGAACATTGATATCTACATTGCAGTAAAAAAGCTTCTGTTAAAAATTTTGATTTCGATCGCCCAAAAAATTCCAGATGAAAAAAACCCCTTGCGCAGAAAATTCCTTTATTTTTTCTTGAAGTGTCGAAACAAAAAAGCTGCCATTTGTGAAGAAAAATTGACTATCAAAAATTCACTAAATGTTTAATGTATGTTTTTTTTTCTGTGTTTTTTCATACTTTGTTTCAAATTTTGAATGAAGTAGCGTAAATATTATGCTTGGTTGTTTTTGTTACAACTTTCGAAGAAAGTGACAGATTATTTGGACTCATGACCATTTTTCGTCTTTTCGAATAGGGTGAAAGTAATGCAAAAGCTGTAACAAGCAAACTTTTTTTAATAATACATCTCTTGACGGAAAGTAAATCAATGTGTACTTTACATGGCGTGTCGAGTGATAATTTTTTTATGAAAAATGAATAAACATTTCATTTTTTTGAAAATTTTAAACAACTTTTCAAAGCAAAATTTTTTTATTGACACTAAGGAGCCATCAAAAAATTCAGGGCCTTGTCTTGACACTATTAACCTCGTTTTTTTTCAGAACAATTGTAAAAAAATTTAAACGGAAGGTCATCGGAAACGTTTTCTACTGCAATGCAGATCTCGACTTTCTGATTTCAAATGTGAATACTTACTTTATCTGCAATCAATTTTTTGATAAAATTTGACTGCCTAAAATTTGCCAATACACTAAAAAAATTTTGGATAAATAATGCGCGTTTTTGAGAGTTTATGAATTTCGATGCCAACTACTTAACGACAGCGAAGAATTCCTTGCTAAAATTCATTCCAAATGAAACTCAGCCAAGCATGGTGAAGTATTTTGCAATTGAAAATGTTTCAAATTGAAATGATGCAAGCTAGTGGGTTCCATTCACTCGCTGAAAAATTCAAATTATAAAACTTAGTACTTAATATTGGATGTAGGGGGTATAACAATACGTTATAAAATTTAAGTTTTTATCAAATTTCTCTTCGAGCAAAAGTATCCTAGACAAGTGAAGGGCAGTTACAACGCTGATGGCGTTGCTTTCAAGCGAACAGCCGTGTTCAATTTTTATCTGGAACTGATAAAACAGTGACTCTTCTAGAGTTTGTACCACAGAAGTAGTTTTTATCAACTTCACGTCAATCGCACATTAAACGGCTAAAGTGTTCCATCCACGAAAACTTTGAAAACATCAATAACTGCGCCGATTTAATTCCCTTAAGTGGTTTTTTATCAAATAGAACAAAAATCAGACAACCTTTAGGTGCTAATGATAAGCCTGGAAACCGAATAAAGCTCAGTCGACTTTTCATGCAGAATTGACTCTTGAGCTAAGAAAAAAGTTTAAAAAAGTCGTCGTAAGTTCACAGATCTTTCACAGAGGCGAGAAAAAATTATTATGGCGAGATTTTTCTTAAACTTTTTGTTTGGTTATTCGCGCTGATTGGGTATGATATCAGGTTATTAATAGCAGTTGAAACAATTTAAGAGATTGACATATTGTTATTTTACAATAATATAGATGTAACTTTCAATGTAACTTTCAGTGCTACTTGCTCATCAACCGGTCGGCCTGTTAATGTACCTCTTTTTATCGCAGAAAAACTCTTTTTTATTCTTTTTTGTCTGCGATTCTGTGTTAATGGTCTACTTTTTATATTAAAACGTAGCTGAATTTTTTTAAGGCTCGACGTCAACCTGTGCATGTTGCAGTAGACCTCGAAAGGCAGCTGAAATGTACAACGGAACACTCACCAATGGAAACACCCTCCCGCTACCCTTAACCCTACCGTGCGGAAACCACACCCAACATCATCACTATAGAACCCTCACCTTGACCGCTTCTAACACACTGAACAACACTCTGAATTTAAGCCAGAACACTTTGGTCGGAATTCCCGGAGGCGGCGAGCCCACGGATGTCTCCCCCATTGAAACCAGCAACAAATCAACTAATAGTGGGGACTTTCTATCGTCCGGATCCCATAGCGAACATCAATTGAACACCGAGAATCATCAGGCACGACCATTGCCGACGTTGCCAAGAACCTCCAAAGGTAACAACAAAGATTCTCCGGACCATCGGTACTCGACGTCGCCGACATCCGTAGTCACAAAACTGCAACCTGGAAGCTCTAACAGCACCACCCCCGAGCACTTGTCGTATCCGGTCCCGATGCACGAGATGGATCAAATTTACGCCGAGTGGTTTTCGGAAGAGCTAAGCGACTATTACTCTATGCCGGAGAAAAAAGCAAGGCTAGCTCAGATAGATTCTTGCCAGAATAGTTCTACTAACTCTTCATTATGCTAACTGATACATTACTTTTTGTCTTTAACATCAGAAACTATGGATATCTAAATGCCTATGATGAAAAAGGCAGTTTCTTTATCATCGAAACTGAAACACATCAGAGAAACAAAATTTTGTGTGTTGTAGATTTATGTAGAAAATTGTACCAAAAAATAGCTTGCCTGCAGTTTAGAGACTAATTTAAAAACTTTTGATTCGTTTTATTTTGCCCATAACTGAAAAATTTAGTATACAAAAACATAGCAAAAACAATTATATATAGCAATTCTTTGCTTCTTAGTTTTGATGGATTTTTATGCGAATTGAGTAGCTTTAAAAGCAAAACTGTTCAACGCAAAAATTCCACAAAAAATTCAGTGATATAGCTTATTTAACACCCAAATCCAATTTTGAGAAACTGAGTTTTTTTTCATTTTGCAGGATTTATTGTCACGGGACATATAAGTCGCAACTTTTAATTTTCAAGCGATGAAATGAGAACAAACATTTTTCACGTTTATGCCGTCTTCTCTACAATTACTAAAGATTCACAGTTAAATTGACGAATAAAACTGTTTTTTAGACTAGAGCCGCAGAAAAAATTGTCACAACTTATTTTTCAGGCGTCATCTAGCTGTTCAACTAGTCAATTCTTTTAAAGCCGAAAAGTGTCTGTAAACATTAAAAGCGATATATAAACTTGAACTTAAAAGTACTCGTTGTATAATCAAAGATCTAAGCTACGTCATCTTACTGCTGGTTTTCTGTTATGTAAGAAAGAAAAGTAAAAACACCTCAGCGACGAACTAAAATTTAAACTCAGACTTTGCCATTATACAAGACAACTTGCTGGTTTTAAAATCAAGCTATGTATGAGAGCTTAATATAATTTCTAAATCTTTTCATGTAGAAAAAAATTACACGAGGGCGTAGTTTAGATAATTAGTTTTCCAACAAATAATTTTAAATTCAAATTCAAAATGCTTTTTTTGGCATCAAGATCACCTCTCTGACGCTTTCTGATTAAAAATCTAAGCTACCCCCTTAAACTAATGATTTACGAATTTTATCCTGCTCCAGTCTAAAAAAAAAACAATTTCATTCACTATATGTCCAAATTATAGCCGTGAATTTTCTTTAATTGTAGAAAAACGGCATAAACAAAAAATGGTTTGTTTTATTGCTTGGTAAGTTGCAATTTATACGTTAAAATTCTATGTTCTGTAATTGCCCCAAAAGTTATCCAAAAAGACCTTCCTCATACGTCCTGCTGGAATTACAGCTGGCAAATTCCAATAACTTTTTTTCTCTTTTTTTCTCGCATCGATTGTTGTGGTATCGAAAGTTTGACCGACTCATGATATAAACTAGTCTCTTTTGCAGTTTCAGTAATTAAACTATCAACAAAAAAATACAAGCTGATAAAACTTACAAAAATCATTTTTAGCCTAGTAAAAAAAAACTAGTTTGAACGCATGCACACGGTTACCTGTCCATATTATTCCATCCCTGAGGCTATCCACGGAGCATTGCCTGTTAGAAGTTAACTATGTCAAATTTAGCAAGGTGTTTACTTGAGCTTTCTGGAACCTTCTAAGAGTCCAGGGCTGGTTTTCAAGGAGTTTTGCAAGGAACCAAGACTGGGAGATTTTTCTTCTGGCTAGACAGTTTTTATCTTGAAAATAGTGAAATACTTTTTCACCTATTTAAAAATACCTTGCTGATTTTTAACAATCGTTTACGAAGTTAATTAGACCAATTAGTCTGCTTCATTTAAATTTAGAACAATTTTGTGGTGCGGGATAATTCGCCACGCGTAAATAATGGGCGTTAAACTTTCAGCATGAAAGTATCACAGCGCTCAGTCAAGTTTGTCAATTGATTACCGGTTCACAGCAATCTTTAAGCCAGTATAGTCTAGTGGTGAGCGTGACCAGAAAGAGCCATGGATCGCTCCACCGAGGGAAATAATTCTGAGAATTAATCTGAATAAAAAAAACCACCCCGAGCATATATATATATTCCTCAGTTTCCTCAAAAATTGGAACAAAAAGGGCTATTTGGACTATTTCATACTTTATTATATGTTAGCTATGTCTTTTTGTAATCAACACATAGCGTATGACGGACTGATTTTTAACAAAATCTCATATAAAAGTTTAAGATTTTGCTTTTTGTTTGTGTAATTTTCAGCAAAGCTAACATTTCCCCATAGGCTTTGAAGGGCAACCGGAACATTGAGAACTTGGCTCTGATTCAAGCTGTCTTGTTGTTCTGACTTTCGTAACGAAAGTAACGGAATATTTATGCTCGGGGTGGGTTTTTCTTTCTTCAGACAAATTTCGACTTTTTAACTAGCCATTTTTGACGTAAATTGTTTTTATATCATTCGAAAGGTATTGTTGTCCTGAGCTCAAATTTGAAAAAAAACTTTCACCTGTGATCATTTTTTGTAAAGTTATGGGGGTTTAAAGATTGCCATTTTGGCCAATTTGGGACAATTAACGCGCAATATATTTCGCGCTATTACCGCGTAAGCGGAGAGTTAATCCGTCTTAAAATCGTTCCAAATTGGTTGAAACAAGCTTATTTGCAATAATTGATTTGTTACAAGGAGCGAAATCTATCCTTTTGTACTTAATATGGCGTGTGGGGGATAATTTTCACAAAAAATTTCAAATTTCAGAAAAAAAATCTTTTAATTTATTTTGATACATTTAATTTTTTGATGTTATTATTGCTCCATAAAACATTAAAAGGCAGTCGGAACATACAGGGATTCGCCCTGATACGAGCAGTCTTGTTGCATATTTTGTGCCCAAAACCTTGTTTATTTTGAAGATTTGTTGATTTTGATTGTTTGTGTCGTTTATTTTGAATTCAATTTTTGTTTTGAGTTTTCAAACAGCATGATTCTAAGAGTAGACAAATCAATTTTCTAGACAATATAATCTCTTTGATCATATTTGATCGATTTTTTTTTGGTCCGTAAAAAATGCATTGCCGTCGGTTTTAATCGATTGGGTAGAAACAGATTCTATACAGTTTTTTTACCGCTAAGAAAATCCATTTTCTAGACTATATAATCAGTTTTATGAACTGTATAAAATCTCTAAATTATCCATTTTTGTTTCTAATTGAGTCACATACAATTGATTTTTTACTAGTAGAAAATCTGTATAAAAATATATTATAATCGATTGCAGTCTTGCAATGCGGATAGTGAAATAACTCAACGGCTAAACAAATGCGATTTTGTACCAGTTAACGAATCCCCCTTTCTTTTGAAAAAAGGGGAGAAATTGTTAAAGATATCCGTTCTTTACATTCACGAAAATTTGAGCGCCAATTTTTAATTCATTTGAAAGCGATAAAACAAAAAGTAATATTTTTGGTCAAAACCAAAAACAAATTCAAAAAGTGTCATTTTTTGAGCCCATTTGTAGCTATTTTTGACTATTCGTCCGAAAAAAAAATCAACCAAGCTTCAGACGTCGGAAAAAATGTCCGATAGCGCATTCTACTCGTAGTGACCAGTTTTTGAAATTTATTGGGTAGACATATCCAAAATTTTGTTTTCAGCTTAGCGTCTCGATTGCACACCATTAACGGGGTGCAACGATTTTCAAAGTTTTTTTTCAAGATTTTTCAGAGATCGTAAACATTGCTGGGCCTGGGTATTGTTGATTTTCATGAGATTATTGTTCCGACTTTCGATACGAAAGTAACGGAATATTTGTGCTCGGGGTGGGTTTTTTTTCTTCAGACAAATTTCGAACTTTTAACCAGCCATTTTCGAAAAAATTTTTTTTACCTGTGATCAAGTTATGGGGTTAGAGATTGCCATTTTGGCCAATTTGGGACAAATAACGCGCGATATATTTCGCTCTAATAACGCGCATGCGGAGATTCAATCCGTCTTAGAAATTGTTCCAAATTGGTTGAAGGAAGCTTATTTGCCATAACTGATTTGTTACTTGGAGCGAAATATAACAATTTGTAGTTTAAATGGCGTGTGGGGTGATGGTTTTCACAAAAAAGCTCAAAATTAAAAGACATATTTTTTAAACATTTTTTCATGTTTTTACCATAGAATTTAAAAGGCAGTCGGAACATTCAGGGGTTTGCCCTGATACGAGCAGTCTTGTTTGTTCTTATAAAGGATTCCACTATAACTGCTGGACCCAGAAGTTTTTTAGAGTCTCCCTTTTCCTTATAATAGTTAAGCGGATAGCCATTGCATTCTTTCTCGACTTCACAATCAACCAAATTAACTGTCGCAGGGTAATTTAGATTCAAAAGTTAAGCCACCAATGGTAAACTCAATTAATACTGCTCGTATTAGGGCGAACCTCTTGAACTTTCTGAGTGTCCTTCACAGTGTTTTAAATAGATCACGATTCGATTTCGTGTTGTGGTGCGCTTCAATGTTTCATTAGAACTCACCAATAGTTCTCAAAATTTTTCAAAATTTTGCTGAGTTGCTTGTTGGGCTGAGGACTAAAATCACATTAGACGACGGTCAAGTTTGAAAAAAAAAGACGTCAATTTGAAGAAAATCTATCGAAGTTGGAACTATTTTTTCTAGCTTTCATGTTTTTTATACAGTAGAAGTTATCCTTTAATAAGTTGATACCAACTAACCCTGATACATCTAATTAACTCCATATTAGAAAAGTATTTTCACTTTTAGAAATGTACTTTCCTTTATTCTCAGATTAGAATCAGGTCATTATCAAATTTAACCCTTGTGTTTTATAATAGATCTTTACAGTAACTTGTGCGTTGACTCTTCTTTTCAGTCCGATTTACTGCTGTAGCCGGACTCCTCAAAGCTGGTATCAAGTATATCCTTTTTTGCCTCCAAGTGTTTGTTAATGTGATGATTTCTGGGTTGTATATTATAGCGAAGAAGAAGGTTTATTTGAGAAACATTATTTTCCTGAATTCAATCGATAGGTTTGTTTTGTGCTCGAGATTGCTTTTTGAAAGTTTGAGACTAGCTGTGAGGAATTTAGGAGTCCACATCCCGAGTAGAGGAGCTAGATTTATATTTCGACTTTCTCGATCAAAAATCGGTATGTTCCGTTTTTCTTCTGCACTTTCATAAGTCGAGCACCTCGATCCGGATTCTGATCGTCTTTTCAGCTGCATCAATCTTTTCAAACAAATAAGGAACCCATCACACTAACCTTCACATCATTGATGATCTTCTTTTC